TTTCTAAATAATTCGAAAGCCTTCCTCCTTTCCTTACTTTTGGTTGGAAAACTAAAAATGTTTTTAATTTCTTTTTCTTCTTTATGAGATCTTTCCATATGTCTTACATAGTTTTTTGATGAAACGTCGATAGCACAAAACGGACACCATGATTCCTTTTCATTATTTTTCTTTGCCTAAAAAAATTTTTTAATTAAAATTAAAAATTAAAATTTTTAAATTTAAGGTTATTTAAATTTTAAGTTTCTTACATTAGTCTTCTCATTGTTTGACATTTGTTCTTTATTATTACTCCCAGTACTATTTTCAGTTGCCTCATTATTTAAAGAACAACAGATGTTGCTAAGATTATCATCAATATCATCGTTATCAGTATCCAGATAGGAGGAACTCTTTTCTGAACAGTCATCTATGTTAAAATCCTTATCCCTATCATCATCAAAGGACTCAGAACTCACAGAACTAAAGTTGGTACTATTGTTATTAAATATTTCATCATTAAAGAGTGTGTTCTTTCTATATTCCTGCTGCTGCTGGTCATTCCACTGTGACAAATTTAAAGTGTTCTGCATTGGAATTGCAAAGGACTTTATAGAAGACTGAAACAAATCTTGAAATTAATCTTTACTCAAAATCTATTTGCACTTTTACTTACGCTTTTAAATGACGAACATGAATTTTCTTCAATAGTCATGTTTTGAGGGCTACAAATTTTACTCATGATTTTTCCAGGGTCATGAACATATTCGACGTCTTCTTCCACTGTGATATCTGTTATTCGAGTTCCTGTTATCACATCATATTTTTTCATTAACTCCTCAACAGTCATGACCTGCTTACTATCAACTTCACTGCTGCTTTCTGTAAACTCATATGGATCTTCGATGTTACGTTCCAATGTAGTATTTAGTACATAGGTTCCGGTTTCCACAGAGTTTTTTAACGGTGATGTGTTGTTTACATTTTTCGTTACGTTAATAGGTTCAGTTCCAACTGGCACAACCACAGATCTGTCATTCACCCAGTTCTATTTAATAGTAAAAAATTGTAATTGAAATTTTATTAATAATATAAGGCAAAATATATATATATATATATATATAATATAAATATATAAAAATATATATTTTTAATTATTATTAATTATTATTATTATTAATTATTATATAAGTCAATATAATATAAGTCAAAATTTTAATTAAAATTAATTTTTTTTGTTCTCCATAAAAATTAAAAAAAATTTCAATCAACATTTAATATTAAATAAAATAATTTTACTAATTAAATAGACGGGAGAATAAAGTTTGCTTTTACTAATAAAAAAGTACTTGCTCTAACCATTCATTTATCTCAGTGTACCATAATATTATTGTAAAATTACATGGTAATTTTAACTAATTTTCAATGTTTTTATAAGCTACATACCCGTTCTGAACAAAAAACTTACTTGTACACGTATCATCTTCCCACTTTCTTCTTTAAAATCGTCGTCTGTTTGTTGTTTCTGCAAATAATTATTAAATATTAATTAAAATATTTTAAAAGTTAAAATTCTTTACATTTAATTTATTGCCAATGCCAACTTTTTTCTGGGCTCCCCTCCCAGTTCACGACTAGCGCCCGACCGACCTAAAGTCGGGCTCCCTTGGCCATTAATATAAGTTACAATTTAGTAAATTATATGAATTATTTCTTGTCATTCAACAGAGGAAAATTTTTTTTCCATTCTTTAATTCAGGTTTTGAAAGAATGAATTTTGTTTTTTGTAGATAAAAAGAAACAAAAACAAAATTTCTTATTAACAAGCGAATGATTTTGAAGTTTGAATTATTTAAATTAATTATTAAATTATAATTATATTTACATTAAAAACATTCTCAATTGATTATTTAATACATTCAGAAATATTTATTTTTCTTTGCAATAAATTTTACTCATCTTTAAAAAATAATAGTATATAGAATAATTGTTATAGTTAAAACCAATTGTATGAATAAACAATAATAATTATTAAAGATTAATTAGTAATATTGAAGAACAATAATCTTTTTCTGAAATATTAACCCACAGAAAAGCTATTTGTCTCAGAGCTACATAAATGTATATTAGTTTTCAAAAAATGGGTTATTAGTAGGCTCTGTTGCTAATATATATTTTTGTTTAATTTGCATAAATTATATTCGGTTCAAAAAGTTTCTAGGTGTAAGTTAAGTTGCTAATTTGCTTATGATAATTGATATTTAAAATAAATCAAACTTCAACTTTTTCTTAAAAAAATTAATTTTTAATAACATTAGAAGAAATTATTTTGGAAGAAATTTAGAAGAATATGTAGAAGTCGTTATGTTAGAAATTATAATTATTTCTTAAAACATATTTATAATATTTGACTTTAGAAATACATATGGAATGTGAACATTAGGATTTAATTATTGAGTAAATTGAACGTGAGACGTTAAACGTCGTTATTTTTCTCTGGTAGAGATAATAATAATTGAAATATAAAAATTACTTTTGATAAAAAAGTTTAAAATAATCAATTTTTTTCCAATAAATGTATTTTTTATGTAATCCATGAGATGGTTATAATAGTTAGTAGTTACACAATAGTTTTTAAACAAAAGAAATGTGAAAATGAATTTTTTCACAATTTTTGGTTTTCAAAATTCCAATTAATTCGTAATTTCTGCACAATATATATTAAAAATAGGTCAATTGAAGTATTTTTAATGTTAGTTTTTATTTTTTATTTATTTTTACTTTTTATTTATTTATTTTTTTAGCTAGTTTAAGTTATTAAAAAAATTAATATTTTTTTAAATATTGACAAGTAGTAACAAAATATTATATGATAGATTGTTTAGAATCATGAAAGAAGTATAAAAAGACGATTTTTTAGGATTACATTACATATGTCTCTGTGTGCAGAATTGTTTTTAAATTAAAGGTATATTTAATAGTTGAACATAGAAAATAATTTATTTTGAACATTGAATTAATTCATGTATTTGATTCACAAAAGACATTCCTTTGAGAATTTAAAAATTAAAATTATAACTAAATGAATAATCTAAATTACTTACCTTACACATGTTCACTATTTTTTCGGCTCTTGATGCCATTTTACAGTGTAAGTAATCTTCTTAAACACTTCACAAATATATTTAGAAAATAACTGTTGCTTCTTACTTCACGCACAGATCAAAACGGAATGACAAGTTAGACTTTTTCAATTAGTCTTTACGCAAATATTCTTCAATTCATTAAAAAGTAATTACATTACTATTAAAAATCGATTAAGAGATAATGTCCTGTTCCTAAGAGTGGAAGAAGGGTCATTGTATTGGACCATATTTAAGAAACAAGAATTCTTCCCACTCTAAAGTAAACGAGAATTGCATGCTATTATTATAGATTTATGTAATATCGTTATTTTCAAATCTGTACTTATTACCCTATAGAAATTTTAGTTTTTATAAAATAAATTTTAAATAATTTTTCATGTACTTTCCATCGTAATTCATGCACCTTTTAATTTTTATTATAAAGGTGAGATTTTTTTCTATAAAATATTTCATGGTTATAAAGATGCCAGAATGAGTTTTCGAGGAAATATAAAAAGGGTCTTAAAGAAATATATTTTTTACATTTTTTGCCTCAGCTATTCAACGAAAGTAAAATCAAGAAAAGGAATTATTTATTACGAATATAATTGAACATTTGTCTAACTCATTATTATCAACTAAAACTTTGTTTCTTTGTAGAGATAGAATCACTTGCTATTGCAGTTTATTTATTTTTTGAGAAGATGAAAGTATGAGACTGAAGTTTGCAAATTTTTTAAAAACAAAAAAAAATAATGAGACGATTTATATCACTTTGGATTTAAATTCAAGTTATTTGGAAATAATTTTTGTGTAAAAAAGTGTTAAGTTAATTAAATTTGGGTACATCAAAATTAAAGAACAATTGACGTGATAAAAAATTAATTTATTAATTTTTTGTTTTTAAAAACGTTGCGGATTTCAGCTTTAAAAAATTAGGAAAAACCAATTTGATAAGTTTTAAGTAACAAAGAAAAACTTTAATTTCAAGAAAAATGAAAACATAATAATGAGAATTTTTAAATTACAATTTTAATTTGCCGAAAGTTAATTTGATTTGTTTTTCAAATTCAAAAATTTTTTAAAGTGTTTGAAGTTAGAAAAGTAGTGATTAATTTTTAAAATATTAAAAACGTTTTTTAATCTATTACTTGCAAAAAATGTAAATTTTGGAGGCGTAGCAATTTTTGGAAATTATTTATCTTACGATGGAATATTTAACGAAACAAATTGCAATTAAACATGTAATATTTTAAGTTCAATTAAAACTGAGAAATATATCAGAATTCAGCTAATTATGTTAAAAACTGAACATATAAGTTATGGAGATGCTATCTTTTTTTTAAAGTTGTCATGGTTCAAAACAAACTAAAAAAAGGCAAAGGTCGATTTGCATGCTTATGCCGATATACCAGCATCATTGGCTTCTCAAAAACATGAAAACTCGAACAGCACGCTGTCAAACGCTTATGCAGTGTTGCCACATTTTAGAGGTGAGAACGTCGACGCTGTATTTAAAACTGTCGATATATACACTGGAGGTGACAACGTGCAGGATGTATCGCATTGTATGACGATACTAGCGCCTGTGATATACGCCTGAACTAAGACGTCATCACTGTAGGTACGGAATAGTCCTTGTCTCCTCAAAACGTTTTTTCGGCAAATCACGTTAGACATTATTTCAAGTCGATTTGCGTTGAAAAATTGTCAAAACGTTGTCACCTCCGAAAACGGAGGTGACAGCGTTGTATATGAGGCGACAACGTCTACTGTTTATCTAAATCGGAGGTGACAAGGTACACTCCATACATATATATATATATATATATATATATATATATATATATATATATATATATATATACATATAAATTATTTAAAAATATTATTTAGATTATGTGAAGACAAAATCAAAAGGAATAATCTATGAAAAATATATAGACACTTTAAATAGTCAATGCTGCACTCTCCGAAATCCCAGAAAAAGAATTTACATCCCAGTAGACAAATGAAACAAAAAAAAATCCGGAGAAGCAAGACGAAGAAAGTGAAGAATCAGAGAATAACAAAAAAGAAGATTTGGAGCGCAAGGATGAATCAATTCCAAAGAAAAAAAGGACTGAATAATAAAAAAGAAAAAAAATTTATATCAAATTATTGTCTTGGATTAAATCTCATTCATTATTAGAAAAATGTATGTTATTTTTTAGTCAAATATTATTAGGTAAATAATTAATATCAAAGTTCTATGTGGCTGTTTTGCAAGTGTAAAAAATGATAAAAAAGAGATGCCACAGTTGTCCCGGGGTTGTCAATTAAAAAAAATAATAAGAAAATTTTAAAAGTTCCTATGCGGCGGTTTTGTGGGTAAAAAGACTTTTTAAAAGTGATGCCAGGGTTCTCTCAGGGATAGAAAAACCGAAAATTAAAAAGAAATCTTTCCAAGTCCTTATACGTCAGTTTTGCAGGTAAAACGACTTTTCAAAAGTGATGCCAGGGTTGTCCCGAGGTTAGCAATTCAAAAAGAATCAAAAGAAAAATTTCAAAGTTTCTCTTCGGCGGTTTTGAGGGTGACAAAAAAGGTAAATGGTGATGCCAGGGTTATCCCAGGGTTGGCAATTCTGAAAAAGTAAAAAGATAAAGTTCAAAGTTCATCTTCGGCGGTTTTGCGGGTGAAAAAAATGGAAACTGGTGATGCCAGGGTTGTCCCGGGGTTGGCAATTCCGAAAAAGAAAAAGTTCAAAGTTCCTCTGCGGCGGATTTGCGGGTGAAAAAAATAGTAAAAGGTGGTGCCAGGGTTGTCCCGAGGTTGGCAACTTAGAAAAAGTAAAAAAAAAAATTTCAAAGTTCCTCTGCGGTGGTTTTGCGGATGAATAAATTGGTAACTGGTGATGCCAGGGTTGTCCCGGGGTTAGCAATTCCGAAAAAGAAAAAGTTCAAAGTTCCTCTGCGGTGGTTTTGCGGATGAATAAATTGGTAACTGGTGATGCCAGGGTTGTCCCGGGGTTAGCAATTCCGAAAAAGAAAAAGTTCAAAGTTCCTCTGCGGCGGTTTTGAGGGTGAAAAAAATGGTAAATGGTGATGCCAGGCTTGTCCCGGGGTTGGAAATTCCGAAAAAGTAAAATGATAAATTTCAAAGTTCCTCTGCTGCGGTTTTGAGGGTGAAAAAAATGGTAAATGGTGATGCCAGGCTTGTCCCGGGGTTGGCAATTGCGAAAAAGTAAAAAGAAAAATTTCAAAGTTCCGTGTATCATGGTGAAAAGTTTAGCCAGGGTTTTGTTAGGTTCTTGAACTGGTGATTCTTGTGTTTTTCAGCTGCTGTTTAGCCAGGCATTTTGTATACCCTGGGAAGCGTTCATTAGCCAGGGTTTTGCCTCGGTTATGATCTTTCTGGTCCTTGGCTTATGCCGAGGTTTTTACCAACTTTTTGAAACCTTTTCCCAGGGTGCTGCCATCCTTGACTCATTTTTACGCGGCATGTCTACCAGCAAAGAGATTATTTTACAATTAGACAGCAGACAGCAGAAAATCTTAATAAAAATTATAACATTAATTTGTATTCTACTCATAGTAATTTGAAAGCGTCAATTTGTGATCGATTTAATCGTACCGTAAACCGGGGCTATAAGGAACAAGACTCTGTGTTCGGGTGGAGTTGAAGTTATCGGGGCCGTGTATGAATAAATTGTGTTACTTGCTTTTGAAAAATTGTTGCTGGGGTAACTGCCAATACTATTCAATGCAATAATTGCGACTATTAATAATTTTGTGAACAGTAGTAGCTTGTAAGTGAGTAATTGTGTTTTAGTGAAATTTCAAACTTGGGAAACATTTGATTGCCGAGGTAAGGTGTTCCTATTTTAACTTCTCAAAGTAATTTTTTTTATTAAAGGGATTTATTATGGGAAGTTTTATTGAGTTCACTAAGTAAGAAATACGTTTATTTTGTATTCACAGTAAGATTTACGAGAAAAAAACCAAAATTCACAAACGGCGGGTATATAAGGAACACAATTATTTCTTCCGAATTGTTAAAGTGTGTTGTCAAAACGTAAGTTTTTCGTAATTTCGTTTGTTTTTTATCACCTAATTTGGTTTTTAGTCTTCAAAGATGGTTCGAAATTGTAAAAGAGTGTTAGTACCGACAAGTCACAAAAAACGACCAGTTATCATCATCGACCTCAACTGATGATACCAGCAACGTTTAGTTTTGTTTTTACATTTGTTTTATATTCTGTGTTTACTTTCGATCAATAAAAAATAATTTCTTTCACTTTAAATACATTTTCCAATAGTTTTACCGCCTTGTTCCTTATAGCCCCATTTTGTAATTTCGAACAAATGCGTCTTTTTCGTATTTTTTGCTTAAAATTTCAGCTTTGATCAAAACAATTCTTTAACCCTTCAAAGTGCTCGCCAAGATCAAGAAAAGAAAAAAAATTAAGGCAATATTTCAATAAAAAAAAGCTGCAAGACTTTAAAGCTGAAATCTGTTCCTAATAGCCCCAGATTACGGTGCTTTAAAGAATAAAATGTGTATGCAATTTAGTTTACGCGGTAATTACAAGTGGATAGACATATGAAGTGATTTAGTAAATGCGTATAATAATAGTAAACATCGGACAATAAAAATGAAACCAATAGATGTAAATGCTCAAAATGAAAATAATTTGTTGTTTAATGTATTTAAAAAAGTTTTACTAAACAGGCAATATAATAAGAAATTTAAAGTTCGAGATAGAGTACGTATAAGTAAAATTAAACATGTTTTTGAGAAAGGTTATACACCAAATTGGACTATAGAAATATTTACTATAAGCGATGTAAAAAATACTAATCCAATAATATATATCTTGAAGGATTATCAGGAAAATGGAAAATCCAATAAGCGGATGTTTTTACGAGCAAGAACTTTCTAAAGTTATATATCGAGATGTATATTTAGTTGAAAAAGTATTAAAAACACGAGGATCTAATGTATTTGTAAAATGGTTAGGTTTTGATAATTCTCATAACAGTTGGATAAACGAATCTGAATTATAATGTATTTGAGAAAGATTAAAATAAAAATAAATTAAATTGTATGTATTTTGTATTTATTTATCCTCTCTTTACAATAATTTACCATTTACACATTGAATATTTGACATTTGATGAATAGCTTCATTTAATATTTGTTTACAGTGAAATGTGACAAGTTCCAGCAGTAATGTCTCTAAATTTAAAACATTAGTTCTTCACATCACTTTTTGAAGTATTCTACTGTAATGTTTTTTAATAAAATCCGTGGCATGTTTTGTAGACTTTACATTATTTTTAAAGATTAATTCTGCAATAAAGTTTACAATTATATCTTTACTATACTGCAAATTGAATTTTGATAGTTCTACATATTTTTGTTCAACACAAGGAATAAGTTCATTAAATATTGCAAATGAAGTCTCACTAAATGTAAAAGATTGATCTAAACGCTTAATTGATATTAAACGATATGTAGCACTAAAACGTATTGTAAACGTTTCACAATCCAGCACTGTTGCATCACGATGTCCGTTGAAAAATCGCATGATATGTTTTACTGCATCACACAAAAGGCTCCATTCTTAAAGCTCCAAAGACAATGATACTCTTGGATGGCTGCTTCTTAGTTCAATTTTTGGTAAATTATATTCCCATTTATGTTCAGTTCTGCTCCAACGACATCTTGCTTTGTAAATGATGGATTCAAGTTGTAAATTTTTCATAATAACATTTCTCCACATGGTAAATACATTTTTTTGTCTTCTACTGGTCAACTCCCTCAGGAACAAACTCTATCTGATTGGAAGGTCCTTCACGATTTCTTAAATATACATCACCTTTTACAGCTTCTGCTTTCAGACTGTTGAAAAGATTTTTATCCTCTTCAAATATTGTTAGCATTCTTGGTGGTAGAAAAATGTTAAATTCATTATTTATTTCAGCAATAATTTTCGGACCAAATTTCGTATTAATTTTCCGAATGTCTGTTAGTTTATAGAATGCATCGATGGTTAATTCCTTTGTTGTTTTGGTGAACAAGACTTTGCTTGCTTTGTTTAATTTATCGAAATTTATTTGTAGCACTTAAATTTAAATTTTCAAATTTTGACACTAAAATAAATAACTGTGACCTTGCTTTAATTAAACTTTTAATTTTACAAATTTCTTGAATTAAATTGTTCAAGCGCACTTGAATTTCACGACGGTGTTCTGCTAATATGTTCATAAACCAACTTAAACTGCAGGAATGATTTCGTTTATAAAAATTGCCCTCTTTATATACGCGAGATATGACCTATTCGACCTTCAAGTTAATTATAGTTAATTTAGATTAAAAGATATCAAAATACACAAGCAAAAAATCTACTAAGTATGACGTCATTTCCGGTTCAGAATCATGGCCTGAATATTACCCCCCTCCCTGTGATGTAATATCCGCCTCATCATCTGACCCCCAAATGGTTTGAGTCTGGGCTAAAAGTGTCGGTAACATGTCGGTGTAGAAATCTTGAGTCTAGAAAGTATGACGCCATTTCCGCCTCAGCATCAAGATTATAAATCCCGAACCGGAAGCAATAAATCAAAGACATTATAAATGGTAAAAATTCCTTAGATAAGAATCTAATCAACAAGATATCAAATTACAAAACCAAAAATTCTAGGAAGTGTGACGTCATATCCGCCTCGGCATCATGGCCTGAATATTACCTCCCCCTTCTGTGATATTATTTCTGGCTCAGCATCATAATCTGAATCGCCCCCCCCAAATAGCTTGAGTCTGGGCTAAAGTGTCGTTAACATGTCGGTGTAGGAATCTTGAGTCTAGAAAGTATGACGTCATTTCCGCCTCAGTATCAAGATCTTACCCCCCCAAATGGTTTGAGTCTGGGCTAAAAATGTCGGTAACATGTCGATGCAGGGATCTAGAGTTAGAACCGGCACTGCATATCTACTCATAAAAAAATTATTGAGATAAAAGAAGAAAAGGCCT